CCAATCATACCGTATCTTCTTATTTGTATATTGATCGATTAACCGTGATTAAAATCAAGCATAGAACTTGATCTGAACCATCTTATGACATGACTTTATGCAAAAAATCTCATTTATCGATTCAGGCATTACAAAAAAGGGCGACTGAGATTTTATATGCACTTTTCTATTTCCAAAGCCACGACTTCGGCATAAATCTTTCAGCTGGAACGAAATTCAAAACTTGGATAAAACAAATATTAAAACAAAAGATAGAAAAAGTACATAAAAAAAGTGAGAAAACTTATATTTCTAAGCAATGTTCTATATCCAAGAGCCACATCTTGGGCAAAAATCGCTTATCCGATACGAATCTTAAACTCTATTTGGTATTGTCAAAACAATAGATATAAGCATTACTGAAAAAGTTAGAAAACTTACATGACGGATTGACGGATAGATGGAGGGGAAACCTATTTCCCTTGATCTTTACCTCTAGGGGATTATATATCGATATATATAATTAAAAAAATATATATATATATATATGTGTGTGTGTGTGTGTGTGTTTTAGTAAGAATGGTCCAATTGGAATACTAATCACTTGTCCGTATTCAGTATCTCCAAAACGAGCATAAATATTACCAAGCCGTGCAAAATTAATGGTACTCACTAAGTAGTATAGTAGCGCTAGTTTTTTTCGAAATCGTTTTATGAAGATAACATGCTATTCAGATTCAAGAGTATGACTAATTATGATTGATCGTTGCAAGTCAGTGATACTTATTCATCACTAGACTGGCACATCGTGGACTTTCCAAAGACCAATGGCAAAACAATATAGTAAGTCCTAAATAAATTAAAAAAATGTCAGATTCGTAAGGCAAAGGGGATCCCCGGTAACAAAAAAAAGTTCGTACAGAAAAAGAAACAGGGCCTTGTCTTTTGATTTTTTTTTTTTTTTACAATTTTTTTTCTTTTTTGGCAAAAGAGTTGATGATAGATGATATTATAACAAAATGTAATCTTAAGATATAAAATAAAAGTATACTCTAACAAAAATATTACTTGGACCAATAATCAAAGATATGAAATAATGGGTGAAAACTTTTCACTTTACTTCTCAGCATGAATAATAAACTGACAGCAATCAGATTTGATTAATTTCAACTGACTGAGTTATGATTTATAAAAAGTGGGAATAGGAGGAGTGAACCAAGACAAGAAGGTTGATAAACTCTCAAGTCATATTAATATGTTCTATTTTATCTGTAATATAAACTGGTGAATACATGCAGTTGTCTATTTTCATTAAAACTAGATCATATTTCATCTAACTATTTTACTAAAGTAATCGAAATGTAATCGAATAGTAATCGATGATTACATCATATTTTCGGCTGTAATCGATAAAATTACCATTACATGTAATCGAAAATGTCTTCGATTACAGATTACTGTCGATTACTTGAAAAAATGTAATCAATTACAATCGATTACGATTACAGATAACGATTACCCTATCCCTTCCCTTGACCGTCCTTCCCGGTCCGTCCGTCCCATTTTGGTTTCCGCACTCTAACTTAAGTTTTCTCATCCAAATTTTATGAAACCTATACAAAATGCTAAGAACCAAAACTAACAGACAGAGTTCGAATTTGAGCAGTAAGTAGCTTACCGTTCTAGAATTATGCCCCTTTTTAACTTCTTAAAATTGCAAAGCTTGAGCGGGGGTACTCGTGTCCTCAGACATATTCTTCTTTTATTCTTCTCTCGGTTTCCATGATCTCCTTCTTGTAGTTAAAAAGGATGTCTGGATGTCTGGGGAACACATTTCGTTTTTTTTTTTTGGACTGGCTTGTCAGAGAGGGTGGGACTTGTGCCTTACGATCCTTTCAAGCAGAATAAACAGAACAACTCAAATTTGCTGGTGAATGCGAAGATGCCAGGTAAAAGGCTATTTTGCTTATATAGTCCTAATGATACCTGACGTTCTCGCACCCCAGCCGAAACTGAGTTTTCCTTCGTAGACGATGGAATTTTGTGACAAAATAATTCCTCATTCATCTTATCCAAACCGTATTTAATTATATTTGAAAAGCATCAAGATTATTATTTCTAAACTTAAATAAATTTATTTTTCGAAGACAATTGGAACTTTCGATCTTTCTACTAAAAGTTATTTAAGATTTGTTTCATAATTAGTAATTTTATTTATTTAGTGATACATCAATCGCCTACAACATTTTGATTGGTCATTACTGGGACTATTAGTATAATTGTGTGGGCCAGTAGTGAAGCAGAGACATATAATACATGTATTATATGTCTCTGACTGACGTTAAGTTATATTTTTATGAAAATGGTTACAACCTTGGATTTGATGATAATTAGAAATGCTACGTACTTCTTGCGAACATCTTACTGTCCGTGCATTAGATACTAATCTAACAAGGTTTTAGCTTGTTGATTTTGTACTTTTGTTTATCATCTTGTACCAAAGAAAAAGTTTGTTATTCGCACAAATAATATGTTTGACATCTACACTCATACAGTTCTTTTTTTGATGTGTGCTTTGTATTGATCTAATGAGTCAAGCTTTTTTCAACTGATTGTGACAGTTTGTTCTTGTGTTGTATTCACAATACAATACGAGATTTTAAAAAATATATGTATATATACATATATTTTTAAAAAATGTCGTCCTCTACCAGTGGTTGTGTTACATCACAGAGAAAAAGGTTATTGTTTATTCCTATGTTTTAAGGAGGTAATTTGATACACCTATAATACATATCAATTAACAACCCTTGTTCCTGCATGAAACATTTTTTTCAATCTTTTCTCCTCCCACGCATAATTTTCATATATCTTTCTCGGTCCATTTTTGAGGGAAATTGGATAACTTGTCATGCCCAAAACGTGAAATTTTTACTTGTACAATTGAAATTTCCAGACAACCTTACCATCAATCCCTCTGTGATTTTATGTGACTTCAAAAATATAAATTTCCTTTTTATGAAAATGTCCACATTTGGCGTTGTATGCCCATACCTGGATGCCATTTTATTATAAAATGCTTAAGGAGTCAATCCAATTGATGAATTAAGGTACCAAACACTCATCTTCTGTGATAGAAATGGGTTTTTTTTCTCTGAATAAAACTTTTTTTTTTTACTTTAATCAAACACAAAATACTTTTTAAAGTACAGGAACAATACAAAAAAAATAGTAATTCAATGTGTTTATTTTCTTATTTTTATTTTTTTTTACTCTCAGTGTGTAATTTCTATTATCAGTGTATGTGTGTGTGTGTGTTTTTTTCAAATATTGCTTAAACATAGTTTTACAAGAACAGCTTATCTAATAATGCATCCAAAATGAAATATTTGTGCTTGGACATGGTTTTCTTCAACTGCCAACACAAGGTTAGAAATGTAGAACATCAGTTGTATGAAGTTGAAGTCATTTTCATCATTATTGTGTTAAAAAGGACATTTATATCACAGGTGCTTGGGTACAGGATTTGTTTACAAGTTTTTTTATTGTTTGCACTGAGTATTTGATTTTTCTATGTTTTACCACATAATTAACACTTCTATGTTCCTACTAGTTTTGGATGAATTTATCAACTCAGATACAATCCCTTCAAGCTGTTTTTTGTATGGATACATGAAGTAAAATAAAAGAACAGAGTTCCAATGTTCCCCGCGTTGCACATATTTTACCTATCCAAGAGCAATAACTAAAAAATCTTATTTTTTTTGCTCTTTAAAACTTTTAATAAATATCTTAGAGAATTGAAGGCTCAAAAGCAAATACAATGCAATTTTCAATATAATTAATATTTCGAAGGGGCAAAACTTTTTTATAAATATTTGATCGGCACTGATTTTCGAACTTGTCCGAGATATTGCTTATATAAACCTTTTCATAAAAGATAAAAGTTTCATAAAAATCTGGCAAGAATTGTACACATGACAGCGCTAACAATGCAATTTTCCATATAATTAATATTTCAAAGAGGCATAACTCTTTTAGAAATAATTGATTGGCACTGATTTTCGAAATTGTCAGAGACATTGCTGATATAAACCTATGATATAAGTTTCATAGAAATCTGGCAAGAATTGTACATGTGAGAGCATTAACAATGAAATTTTCAATATAATTAATATTTCCAAGGGGCATAACTCTTTTAAAAATAGTCGATCAGCGCTGCTTTTCGAACTTGTCCGAGACATTGATGATATAAGTTTTATAAAAATCTGGTAAATATTGTACATATAAGAGCACTAACAAGACCAGACAGACAGATGCACAGACAGACAGACGGGCGGACGCCCGGTATTTCTATGTCCCCCTGCAACGCATTGCACTGGGGACAATAAGGGATTGTATCAGAGATGATAAATACCCCAAATCAAGTCTATATATAATAAGAAATAATATGTACAAGGAGATATGGCCTGTCCTATGTCAGAAACTTCACCAATCCGATCTATTTTTGTCTTCTAGTGAATAAGGGGTCAATGGCAGATCTTTGGTAGTCATTTTCTCCAGGTGATTGACAAATGATATAGACACTTGTTATTTGTTGAAGAGAATATTTTGACCTCTATATGTCTTAGTTTCTTTGTATCATTGGATTGGCATTTTCTGTCTCATTGACATATTCCAAATGCCAAATAACCTCCATGAAAATGAGATGTGCCAATGCTACTTTAACTACATACCAAATATCATTGAAATACTATTAGTGTTTCCCCCAAACTTTGACAAATTGTTCACTCCGTCACAGATGGAAACACTTAACAGCATGCTAGAATCTCACTTGTTGGACTTCCTTGAGGTGCGACAAAAATAGGATTTTAATTATCCAGGTGAGTATTTAATACCAAAATAATAAGTTTAACATAAAACATGCAATACCATTATATTGCATTAATGACTTTGGTTAAAACCAAACTGAACATTCAATTATATGTATTATATGTTTTTAAAATTTACAAACAATTAGATAAAACTGAGACTCTCTTTTTATTTTCTAAGAAATTCACTTGTTCAATACATATCAATCTTATTCAGAAAAACACATTTTAGAAATACACTACAATTTTGAGCTATTTGTGAATCAAATACTGTATTAGGCCGTGTAAAGTCCACATTTGTGTATAATCTGCATGCCCTTTTTATCAATATTTATCCATAAACATGGGATACAGACAGAGCAATAATTGAATTTGGTTTATTTCATCAAAGAACACATTTTTTTACACTATATAATTTATACCAATTTGTAAGATTTTGAATCCAAATATTTTTCAAAACTAAGTATGGTAACCTAATTCTTATAATTGAATTTTTAATGCATACACATAAAACTCTCTTGTACAAAATTTTAAGAAATATTTTCCTGTTAAATTAAATGTTAATCCACCATGCATTTTTTTCAAACATGATATCTAAATAACAAAACAATTGTGTTCTCTTATAAGGATTTGTTGAACAAATTAAAAAAGTTAAAAAAATATATGTACAAAATTATTTTCCAAACACCATCAAACAACTACATAAAACACAGGAATTAAATGTGCAAAACTATTAAAGTGACCATCTGAAGAAAATTGCTGCAAAACTGTTGTGTCCCATATCGTATTCTTGTATTTTGTACTTGAATATTAATCTTAAAAAAGACTTACAATTATCATTTAAATGAATCTAATCATTAATCAATTAATTTGCTAAGACAAAATCTCAGACAATTGTTAAACAACTTATTTCAAGGAATAGTCAATAGCCTGGCCTATATTTAGCCTTTGTGAACAAACTCTTGTTTTTGTTAGAGAATGTTTTCAAAAAGATTAAAAATGATATTAGAATATAGCAAGAAGCTATCAAAATGACCACAAATTAGGTTTTCCTTACATTTATTAGTGTCATTATTAAAGCAATCAAGGACAATAACTCCTGAACGTAACAAGTGAAAATCATCAAAATCTAACATGACCTCAGTTTTGTAATGAGACATAACATATTATATTATGAAAAGTTTTGGATAATCAGTTCTCAAGTTATTCCACCAAGGATTTGTATAGTAAGTACTATACAAATCCTTGACTCCACTGAAACAACATAAAGCAGCATTTATTCCATCAATCAAGCAATACATTCATTTAACAAGGTCCAATCCATTGTCACAATAGTGGTTAGAACATCTTTAACCAACAGGGTCTATTATGATAGCTAGGGCAACTTGAAACATCTTAACAAAAAGTTTATGTAAGTACCTGGTAGTCTCCCATCCTGGGGTAAAAATCCCATTTTCATAAATTCTGCATACCTATTTAAAACATATTATTTTTGAACTCATCTAAAAAAAAGTTAAGACAAGGGGGAAAATGATTGCATTGGTTATGATGGTAAAGCCCAACCTTAACAAAAGCAAACTTTTTTTCAAAATGAACTTTTGACAGTTCAAACCAGTTTGCTTACATTACAAAATAACTTGACCTAGATATTTGACATTTCTGCTGTGGGAGAGGATCATGACCAAAAAGACACTCACAAGGAAATGAAAAATAAAAATCATCTTTCAGATTAGAAATGAATAAAGTCAAATGCATATGTAATTGGAAACATTTATGGAATGTTTAAGTGTTTAAAAGAAGCCTTGACAACAAATATTAAAGAGTTAAACAAATATGATTTCCTTTAATAAAAACTCTGGACAACAATTGTCACTTTGGTTATAGACAGACCTTTCACACAGCATTACAGCCCTCAATACTTCTATCATTATTAATTTAATAAACTGCAAATGCGGATAGAAAAATTTGCTGTGTTTTTGATTACCAGACTAACCATCTTTTATACCCTCAATTTATTGTCAGTTCCATCCTTTATTATTTTGACATAAAAGTCAGTAAAACTTTCTATTTAAGTAATTAACAATTCAACTCATTTTTACATGGGTAGGCATTACATGTATCAATATCTTTACAATGAGGAAAGGAAGGTGTAAAATACTGACAAATTTAATGGCTTCTATGTTTAATTGGTTATAGGGCATGATAAGAATTATTTTGAACCTAACAGGGCCAATATGCACTTGTTTAGATCTATTAAGCAAATGGCAAATTACTAGGAATTTTTACCTGGTCCCATCCACCCTTCATTTTTTGAGCATACATTGAACAGCATGGAATTATGATACAAAATATTCATAAAAGCCTAATAGATAAATAATTTAAAGAATATTTAAAAAAAAATCTTCTAATCAACTAAAAATGTATTTTAATGGGATAAAAGTAATAATGTACAAGAACGTACAAAATAAGTAGTGTACATGTGTCTAAAATATTTGTGTTATTTCAGAGAGTGGGTTTGTTTATATACCAACAATGGAAATCTTATATTAGAATCTGCCTTTTTTCTGTGCATTATGATTGATTTGCATGGTAAAAAATATTACCAAAACCATTGATAGCAAACAACATACAACCAGAAAGAATTTAACTCCAAATGTATTCTTTAGATTTCAATTATATTCCATAATGAAACAAAAACAATGTATCAGATCTATATAAAATTCGTAAAGGGTTATGTGGAACCCTTTGTCTTGCCTGCTATTGCTGCTGTCAGTGTAAAAGTGTAATGTTGACTTAAAAAGTGAGTCCATTTATCAGTAAATTACAGAATTAAAAAAAAATAAAAAAAATTCTTTAGATGTTATTTCTGGGTCTTGAAGATTAGCTTTTGTCCAAGTTTCATAACAATTCATGAATATTTACAAATTTATCATGTCAAAAAAGTTTAATCCCAGACTGTCTGTAAATGTTAACTGTAAAAAACTTATTCCATCTATCAGAAAAATACTGAAAATGAAAGTATATTTTCAAAAGTTTGCTTCAGACATTATTTCTTAATCATAAAAAAGCTTCTGCCAAAGTTTCATAAAATTCTATGAAGGTTTGACAAAGTAATTGATGTGTAAAAAACTTAAACCCAAGACTGTATCTACTTGTTAACTGTAATAAAAATTATGTTCATTTATCAGTAAAATAGCGATAAATGAAAATAAATATTTTCAAAATTTTGCTCTAGATACTGTATTTTAGTCATTGACAAGCTTCTGTCCAAATTTCATAAAATTCCATGATGGTTTGAAAAAATGAAAATAAATATTTTCAAAATCTGGCTTTGGAAACTATATTTTGGTCATGAACAAGCTTCTGTCCAAATTTCTTAATATTCCATGAAGGTTTAACAAAGTTATTGATGTCTGAAAAAACTTTAACCACGGTCTGATCCTAAATGTTGATGCTGCGGACGTCGACCCTGAAGCCGATGACAGAATCTAGGACCTCTATGTCTCGCTTTTGCGACATAAATGTCACATGCTCGACAAAAATGTGCAAAATAGGAAAAGAATGATCTGCTTATCGTACTTTTATCCCAGACACTACAAATTGGTTCTTCATTTGATCCACCATTAATGTTTCCTATATAACTGTTAATGCTATCTGCTCAACATCTGAGTTGTATTAGCGAAGTAGCTCTGTAATGGTACATGCATCATTTCTACTAAGTATGCATAATTCTTCTCTGAAAAAAAAAATAAAAGAAAGGTAACACAATGATGTAAACCTAAAATTGAGGAATAACAGAACCAGTAATGTATTTGAAAAGTTGCAACCATTAAATATCCTATTGACAGTGGCAACTCTTCAAATACAGTACCTATTCTAATGCATTAAAAATAAAATTTCATTGAGCTTGAAAAAAGATAGAAAATCAAATTATAATATATGCGTAAAATTATGGCCTCTACCCAAAACACTTTTTTTTTGGCTCCAATGGCTCTCCATACTTTTAGAGGTTAACTGTATGATATTAATTTTGAAATTGATGCATGTTCCCTCAACCTTATGTTATTTATTGTCATTTTTCTCATGTTAAAGGTGCAGTTTCATCCCAAATACGAACTTCGAAAATTGAAATTGTATAAAAAGTAAAATCACAAAAATACTGAACTCCGAGGAAAATTCAAAAAGGAAAGTCCCTAATCAAATGGCAAAATCAAAAGCTTAAACACATCAAATGAATGGATAACAACTGTCATATTCCTGACTTGGTACAGGCATTTTCTTATGTAGAAAATGGTGGATTGAACCTGGTTTTATAGCTAGCTAAACCTCTCACTTGTATGACAGTTGCATCAAATTCCATTATATTGACAACGATGCGTGAACAAAACAAACAGACACAAAAGATAAAAATGTCAAAAATAGGGATACAGCAGTCAACATTGTGTTATCATCTTAATCACTATAAAAACAAACAAATGTAACGAAGAAGCACAAAAAGGAATACATCAAATTTAACATCCTCATTTTGCTTTATTATTATACGATTTAATTTATCTATCTAAAATTGATTTTTCTGAAGGGGTGGGCTTCCCTTGGAGGTCTGACAAACACAGTACAGAGGCCTAAAAATTCCAAAATAGTGTAAACTTGCAGGCATACAACTACTGATCAGTAGTATTGTTAATAGTGAAATACGCTTTGGGAACAACTTCTTAAGGTTGCAGGTCCAGTTGAAGCCAAATGACCTTCTTTAGACTGGCGACCTAATCAAAGTTGTGGCAGATGTGTCCATTCTACACGCAGACTACAGTGGGATACATCTATCAGCATCCCTCCAGTCTCCCAGGTTAAGAAATAAGACAGAAAATCTTCAAAATTGACGATATTGCATCAGATGACCAACTTTAAGGCAAATAGTAGCAATTTTATGTTAACAATAGTAGCTATTTTAGATGTCAAAAAGTAACTTTTTAAATGTGATATGCATTTTTATTAATATAACAGTTGTGTGTGCAACAACTACCCTAGACTTATACTGTTACACAAAAAGGTAGGTTTTCATATACATGTATCACAAAAGTGACTTAAACCCTCAGGGCCTGGATATTTTTTGTTGTGCAAGGTCAAAAATAAATAAACTGAAAGGAGAATACTTACCATTTTCAGGCGTAACAAACCCATGTCTAACAAGGAAATCCAACATAATCAGTGCTGAATTAGGTTTAAAGTCATCTGATACTATGGCATCCATAACCTGTCAAAATTATTTAAGTAATTATGTTTTAATTTGATAAGGTAAAAACAAGTTGTGGGAAAAAATTAGTGGTATATCAATAAAATTTCAATTTCCTACCTACATTTATTTTATCAGGTATGAAAGATCACATTTTAAAAACTACACTTTTCCCTTTAATCTTAATTTTTGGATCTGAGATACCAATGATTTATTTGTAACTAAACAGTGAGGTTTTACTGGTACATCCATTGATTTTTTTATCAATAGATCAAAAGTCAAGTCCCAGCAGCTTGATGACAGAAATTTAAATTTTCAATCTTTGCTGTCTAAAGGTAATCTTTTGAACCAACCGTCCAACATTTACCAAACTTGGCTAGATAATTACCCATGAGATGAGAAAGTCCCCTATTGATTTTGGGGTCAATAGGTACAAAGTCAAGGTCAGCAGCTATTGAAAGACTGAAAGTTTGGTAAAAGTATTGTTCAAGGATGTTATCTTTTGTTTGGTAATGCCCCATGGGATTGGGAAGACCCCTATATATTTTGGGGTCAATTGGTTAAAAGCTAAGGTCACAGCAGCTATTCATAGAATGAAATTTGGCTATCATGTGTTTTTTTTAACCATCCAACCTTCGCCAAACTAAGCTGGAGAATGCTACTTTGATAGAAGTAGACAATATTAATTTTTTTTCCCTATCTTTGGTTGATAATGCACCTTAGGGTGAATTTTGGTCAAAGGTCAAGGTTACAGTAGGAATAATAAATAAAGACTGAAAGTTTGGGTAATCCCCCCTCCCAACATTTGAAAAAAATAGAAACTGTCAGTAAACTTTAGGTCTTCAATGTACTCGACACAAAAAAAAGAAATTCTGTGAAAGATCCATAACATCAACTGTATATAAGGAACACATATGCCTATAATATTATATACAAAAATGACTACCTGATCTATAGACATCAGTTCAAAAGCGCCAACTTCACCATCAGCATTCACAGGCTGGTAATCAGTCGGTAACTTTAGGTCAAATAAATACTCACACTCTGGGAAAACACCTCGTTTATCTTCCAATATATAGCTGTAATCATTCAACATAATAAAATAAATCCAATTTTATGTAATTTCTTGAAAGAACATTTATTTCATAAAACAAATTGATCAGTCTTTAAATGCAGGAAAGTACTCTTAAGTGTGAAATTTTTACCAAGACTATACCTTCACAAATTTTCACCAGGCTTATACTGCCACAAATGTCTAGACCTAAATTTAACCTCATAAACAGGTTTTCCCTCAGAATCATGAAATTTAAACATTGCAAAAATTAACCAATTCGCAGTAGCACTCATTTCCAAAACATCCATTTCTCTATAAATTAACATAAGGTAATGGAACATACTATTGAATAACATTGTATTGAAAAGACATAAGTTTTTTTACTGCCCATTAGAATATTAAGAATACAAATGGACCAAATACTTTTTAAAGTTGAGGTTTGAATTCATTCTACAAACTGATTAACTATCAAAACATTGTGGCCCATTGTTAATGATATAATGTATAAAATATTGTCAGTATAATTTTAATTTGTACTTAATATAACCACACCCTCAGATATATACAGCAAATTTTCTGGTATGAAAGCAAACAGTATCAACAAGATATCAAATGTTTTTAGATATATTTAACAACAGCAGCAGATACATGTATGTATATGATATATTCTGTTAACAATCCAGATGTTTCAAATATACAAATGAAATTTATCCTTCTGAACCAATCATTCATAGAGACAAATGTCCTTTTTGAGACCCTGATATTAAAATTTCACACCGTAATATCTACACCAAAATTTATGATAAACAGAACGACTTTTCCTATCTTATTTCTACTACTACTAGGGTTTTTTAACAACCTTGACTACCCTTGAGGGTCTCACAAGGTTGGACTATCTAATTGTTCTGATGGCTACTTTTTATGGAGTTCATTGTCTGATGTGTGTGTGTGTTTGCAGTGAAGTCTTGTATTTATTGTATGTAATATTTCATTAAACTAAAAAACTTTTACAGCAGGGATAAATATATCACAAATCAATTAAATATTGGTCAAAACTTACTAAATTTTATCTAAAACATTTAGATTAATTGTGCAAGTACATTTTAATGTGCTGGAATTAATAAAAAGTGGTATTTCGCATCCAGCTTTTTATGGTAATATTGTATATAAAGCTAATAAATCTAGTAATTGTTCTCATATTTGTCTCCTTGACTAAATAGTCTTATAGATAACAGTTATATTTATACTGTTATTCAATTATACAAGTTTATTGGATGTACCCATACATGTTAATTTATTGACAATGATAATTGGGAAGACAGCAATTAAACTGTTTTTTTACTTTTTGTTGCTGTCTCATAGACGTATGCCCTCATCTCCTTTTATTCATATTCACTTCCCTCTTTTTACATAAAAATATTTGACTCTAACCTGACACATCCTACTCCTACTAGTTTGTCTGTCAGTTCTTTAGGTATTGATGCTTCCTCTTCACATTCTTTAATAGCACAGTGTCTTACTTTCAATCCTGAAGCCAGCCCACCTGCACACTGAAATATCACAAATACATTGAAATCACTTGATAATATACTCTTAATCATGTTAATATAGAAATAAAGAGAAGAGGTACGATTGGGAATGAGATTAGTATCCATAAAGACCAAAGGACAAAGATTTGAACAATCTTTCATCACAATTTACATGAATATTCTTTCAATATTAATCATTTGACCATAATGGACCCTTCTCCCTATTTCTGTAATTTTTTGTTACTTACTCACCATGTTATCTAACTTATTAGGATATGTAGGTTTAGTGGGCGATCTTCTGGCAATCCACATCATTAACTGATTGTCAGTTTCTATATAACCATTGACATGTACGCCATAACTTATAGCTCCAAATAAACCTGGAAAATATTTGAGTATAGTTATTTTTTTGTATGTTATCCTGTTTTACTGTATATACTGTATATCGGGTTTTTATCGCATGTGTTTAATTTTCGCTTTGTTTGCGGCAGCTAAAGAAATTTCACTGCATTTTCCCCGATTTATTGTTGTTTGAAAGTTTCATACATTATACTGTTGATTGTCCAGTCTTGTGTTGTTCGATAGATCACAAGAAAGTGTATACTTAATTAAGACTTCTATTTTTATAATAATTAAATATGACTAATCATACATGGTACACCTTTTGACAACACAGCAATCAATGACAGGTTAAAAAATGTTAATTAGCGACGATCTATTGATGGTGAATCATATTGATTGGTGTCATAACCTGAACATTTTGCATATGATGTAAAATCAAAATAAAAATAAATCACAATTACACAGATATTTGTAGATGTGTAATGATCAAAACTTTCAATTTTTAATATGCCCAATGTACATATGTCTTGCAAGTTCACTGAATTATGTGTATTTTTCGTTTGTAGTACTCATATTTATTTGCAATCGATAACCTGTCAGTCAATCAAATTTATGTTGTTTACATCTTTAATTATATAATACAATTATTTTTTCGAGTGTATTTTCCCATTTAGCGAAAATTATACACAGTGAAAATTTAACCTGCCCATTTTCTCATCAAATCGCGAAAAAAAAACTGACACAAAAAAACCTGATATACGATACATCTATCCATATAAGTACTTGATGTATTTTATAATAACATAACTAACCATCAGGACAAGGAAAACACTGTGAACACCTTTGGCCCTACAAATCCTGCTATGTAAACTGGGGAGATAAAACCCAGTGAACACCTTTTGCCCTACGAATCCTACTATGTAAACTGGGAAAATAAAACCCTATGAACACCTCTGGCCCTTCCAATCATGCTCTGTAAATTGGGAAAATAAAACTCTGTGAATACCTTTAGCCCTTCAAATCATGCTCTGTAAACCGGGAAAATAAAACTCTGTGAAATAAATCATGCTCTGTAAACTGGGAAAATAAAACTCTGTGAACACCTTTAGCCCTTCAAATCATGCTCTGTAAACTGGGAAAATTAAACCCTGTGAACACCTTTGGTCCTATGAATCCTGCTATGTAAATTGGGGAAATAAAACTCTGTGAACACCTTTGGCCCTTCTAATCATGCAATGCAAACTGGGGAAATAAACCCTGTGAACACCTTTGGCGCTTCAAATCATGCTATGTAAACTGAGAAAATAAAACCCAGTGAACACCTTTGGCCCTACAAATCAAGCTCTGTAAACTGGGAAAATAAAACCCTGTGAACACCTCTGGCCCTTCAAATCCTGCTATGTAAACTGGAAAAATAAAACCCTGTGAACACCTCTGGGCCAACAAATCATTGCCAATGAGACAACTCTCCACCAGTGACCAATTGACATAGAAGTTAAGAACTATAGATCACTATACGTCCCTCAACAAAGAGCAAAACCTGCATAGTCAGCTAGTATATATATATATTGAATCAAATTTGAGTGTCAATCAATTCTGTGAGCATAAGTTTGGCTTTTAAATACATAACCATAATACATTCATCCTGTATCTTTTTTTCATTTTAATATTCATTAAATTTATAGATTTAATGAATGAAAATTTTAAGAAGCAAAAGTTTTAACAACAAGTTAGTAAAATATCTACGTAGGCATAACTTTGGCTTTTAAATACATTATCATAATACATACATCCTGTATCTTTTTCTTCATTTTAACATTAATTATATATAACTTTAAAGGGACATTAGCTGTCAAATTCATGTTCACTGATTTGACTTTAAATCTCATTTATTTATGACATACTAACACTTCTATCCAAATTACAAAAAGTCTGAAAGATGTAATTTACAATGCATGGACTCGTTATAATGTATCAATATTTCGCGTGTAGTTTAGAATAGCTGCCATCTAATTAATGATTGAGATGATCTCCGAAAAATTCTGTAGGTCATATGACCTGATGTAAATATAAATATAAATACATAAGCAAGCACCTGCAATCGTATAATGAGGATTTTCTAGGTCTGTGTTGAATTCATATTATAGATTAAAAAAATATGTAAATCATTGTTTTACCTGAATTTGATTTTAATTTTTGTGGGAGGAATTAGTCAACAAAGGGATCTTCTCGGTGGTTGCCTTGTTTCACTTTTCAATGTTGACATTCATTTCTTTTTAATAACTAAACATGCTAAGTCCATCCCAGTTAAGGGTTAAATTGAAGTTCCCATGATTACGGATTCAAATGAGTTGAAATCATACCACATTGCCTTATTTTTATATGAATTATTGACTTGCAAGCCATTAATACATAATCAATGTTTTTAAGCTTATTGTGACAAAATTGAACCAAAACTGACTGCTAATTAGTACAGTAAAAGTGAAATATTATTTCACAATTCCACTCTGATAAATGGTTGAAACAAACAAAAAATCATATTTGATTTTTGTCAACTTCGTAGCTAATGCCCTTTTCATGGATTAAAATTTTAGGTAACAAAAAATTTAAACATAACAACAAGTTAGTAAAATATTTCATCTTGTAAGACTTACATATTCCTGACCTTTCAACTTCCATATAAGCTTTCTCTTTTGGTGATGTTCTAATGTCAAAAGTCTAAAATATACATGCAATAGTTTGTATAATTTAATAGCTAGAGACAGTAACTAGATTCTTTAGATATTTTTATCCATGACAGCAGGTTGTATATTTATAAAGAAATTGATGTGTTTGTCAAATATCATGCTATCATAACAGATATGACAAAATTATCAATGACAAATGTTTCCAAGTTTAATTGCACATTAAGGTTAACATCAGTGACAAGCAGCACTTTATTGAGTTGTGAATGGACCAATTCTGAAAGTGTTGCATGTGGGAATGTTACTGTTTTTGATGTTCTTAGTGGTCCAGATATCATGTGTAAGTCTACCGAGTATGAATAGCTTATTTAGATTTTCTACATGTGTCATTTAAGAATGGTATAATAATTTCTTTCTTTCTTATAACAGTAGTAAATATGGTCAATAATGCCAAATTTTCTCAATAAATCAGTTATAGCAAACATCATTCTGTGCTGTATACAATTTCAGAAATGTGCAATGATGTTCTTAGCTTAAGTATGTTCGCTGCTCTTGTTTTTTACTTTTTGTCAGATATTCAGATATCCTCTAGTTGTATCCTTGTAGTGCCATGAAAATTTTGTCCACTTATCCCTACTTTTCTTTTAATAATTTTGTTACATATAGTTTATAAAATCCATTTTTGAAAATCTTATAAATCCTTGTTATTTTTTCATAGTTTTTGAAAGAAAAAAGGTGCCAATGATAAATGTATGAAAAATCTAGAGAAAATAATTTCCAGCCAAATTTTTAATTGATTATATCTCAGAAACAAGGATCTCTAAGTTTTTACTATTTTTCAAGTTTCGTTATTTATATACTATCAATTTATAACAGTCTTTTAAAAAGCTTGTTATTTTGTTTACAAAAAATATTGGGCAGTACAACAGACCAGAGTGTCAACATCAGAAGAAAGAACAATTTCAACTTAATTAGTTGGTATATCATGCCAGTGGATTGGTTCATATTTATAAAAGGAAGTCATTTACTTTTGTTTTTCGTAAAGTGTTTTGTATTTATCATTTTGGGGTTTACAGTATATATCTTATAAACAACAATTAACAATAATATCTATAATTGATTTACAATGTACTATATATTTCTTACTTCGTTTCTCCATCCGTTAAGAGTCACTAGTACTTTTTGTTCTCGTAAATCTGTCAACACTTCTTGAACTTTCTCACTTCTTTCCTTTAAAGTTTTCAGGTCATCAGACAATTTCAGCATGGAAGGGGAGGTAATGAACACATCCTGGTATTTCTGTAGATGTGGTAGTATGTCTGGTCGTATTATTCCTACTTGTTTGTCCCTCACAAAAAATGGAAGACACTTCAGTTTCGAGGATCCTGTGGATCAAACATAAAAATTTGAACGTTTGTCATGTGGCTTTTCAGAAAAGATATGTACACTGAAAAACATCATTGAAATGAGTGGGTCTTCCAAATATAAAAATAAGAAGAAATGGTGCAGTCTACGTTTTGGTTTGGGAAACCCCTAAAAAATGCTATTAAAACTAGAGGCTCTAAAGAGCCTGTGTCACTAAACTGCATCTTCAACAAATTTTGACACTTTATTGTAAAAATCATTATGAAAGTGGAATAACAGTATTAAGAGTTATCTGACAATTTCAGCTATGTTGATGTATTTGTAGAACTTGTCCTGCTAATCATTTTTCTATTTTTAAGTTTTTATTACTATCATAGTTTTCAAGATAATAGGCAAATAACGCCAAAAAAATGGTAAAATCATCATGAAAGGGCAATAACTCTAATAAAGAGTCAACTGAAGATATCGACCATGAAGTTTATTTTTAGATCTTGTCTTGCTGATCATTTTTGTAACTTAAAGTTTCTATTTATCTATTATAGCTTTCAAGATAATAGGCAATAATGAAAAATTGGAAAATCGTCCCTAAAGGGCAATAACTTAATGACTTATTTGTAGACCTTGTCTTGCTGATAATTTTTGTTGTTTAATATTTCTATCTATTGATTATAGTTTTCAAGATAATAAACAAAAATGCCAAAAATTGGGGAAAAAATAGTTATTAAAGGGCAATAACTTCAATAAGGGTCAACTAACAGTTTCCATCCTGTTGCCTTATTTGTAGATCTTGTCTTGCTGATCATTTTTGCATTTAAAGTATCTTTCCACCGATTATGATTTTCGAGATAATGGGCAAAAATGCAAAAAATTGGTAAAATTAATCGTTTAAGGGCAATAATAGACATTTGGTAGATCTCATCATTTTGAACATTTTTGCCCTGTCAGATTTTCTCTATCTTGAAATGTTTTTAAGGTAAAAGACAAACATTGCATTTTACACCTATGTTCTATTTTTAGCCATGTCAGCCATGTTGGTCGGCAGACAGGGTCATCGGACACATTGTTTAAACAAGATACCCCAACGATAATTGTGGCCAATTTGGTAACAGTTTGTCCTGTAGTTTCAGAGGAGAATATTTTTGTAAAAGTAAACGGACAACGACGGACAACAAGTGATGAGAAAAGCTCACTTGGCCCTTTGTACCTAGTGAGCTAAAAACTAGAAAAAGGCAAAAATAGTAATAAGCAAATGAAGATCAGGAAATATATGCTATATAGAGACAGAAGAATTTGTTCTACTTCAAATTATGTCTTCTGAAAGCTTAATTAAATTGTTTTATGAGGAAAGTTGATGATGTTGTCTTCAAAAATACTTATCTGGTTATCATTAATGTATACAGAACAATGTTAACATTATAAGTAATATTTACCTGATAACAGGAAATTATTGCATCTGTCCACCACATATATGAAATTTCTGGATGGCATAGTTTTTGTTTCTTATTTATTAACTCTATTTCTGCAAGTGATAAAAATATATCATGACAAAATTATACTTTCATTATGGAGTCATCACAGAATATTTTCACCTAAAAGACCAGCTAGTTGCAATCATGTTCATTTTTGCACACAAGAAGAAAGCTGCTCAAAAGTTTGAGTTATACACAAAAACCTGCTGGAACTAGATGGGTTCAGATCACACACCTGAGACAAGGCATCTGCTGATTTTGCTTTACTAGAGTTGTCTTACTTTGCCCACTTTCTTTTTCAACAGGTTACCTATTCTGTGGTATGACATTCTGGTAATAGGTCAACTAAGAGCAGTTAAAAGAAGTATAATCAAGCTTACAATCGGTGCAATCTAGGAAACAAATTAACTGTTTTCCAATTATTTTGTCGTGTAGAAAAAATAAAACAGTATTTTTTTTCCCCAAATATGTATTGCACTGATTGTAAGTTTGATTTTACTTCTTTTAGTTGTTCTTACTGGACCGAGTACCAGAAAGTCCTGCCACAGAGTACGCATGTCAAAAATTTATAAAATTCTGAGTCTTACATCTATTATATCAAATAGTTTTCATTTTATCACAAATAGTTTAAAGTCAACTAAAATAACAATGCTTCTAGAAAAAAGTATGTAAAATATATTGTTTTAAGATTTTTTCTTTGTAGTTAAAAATCAAAATAAGTAAATTGGAAACAGTGCATCCTTACAAAATGATATAAAAAGATTCATGTAGAAAGAAGTTGACTGATTTCACTTCTGTTCTCGTACTATGAATAACAAATTTATTTTGTAAAAATGTTTCTGTACTCCTAACAACAAAATTATTATATTTAAATTTACCTGTGTACGTTACTTTATTTAACACCATTTTGTCCTAGGTTAAAGTTGTCTTTTTGACATTGAAACATCTTTTTTTTTTATATTGTGTCATAGATCAAACTTATTCATTCAGTTAATATTTACTTGTTTTTGTGTATTGTCTTTTGATCGAGTTCAGCCATTTCAATTCATATTTTATTGTGTGTCTTTTTATGTTGTAATGTTATACCACTGTTTCAGGTTAGGGTGAAGGTTGGCGTCTGTTAAAACGTTTAAACCCGCTGCATTTTTATGCACCTGTACTAAGTCAGGAGCCAGTTGGTTAGTGGTTGTCGTTTGTTGATGTGGTTCATAAGTGTTTCTCATTTTTTTATATAGATTAGACCGTTGGTTTTCCTGTTTGAAATGTTTTACACTATTCTTTTTTGGGCCCTTTATAGCTTGCTGTTTCGGTGTGAGCCAAGGCTCTGTGTTGAAGGCCTTACTTTGACCTATAATTGTTTACTTTTTACACATTGTCACTTGGATGGATAGTTGTCTCATGGCACTCATACCACATCTTCTTATTTATATGATGTGTTTTTAGATGCATTATATATCATGTTAAAGGGACATTGGCCAGCTGTTAAATTCATATTCACCGATTTGACTCAAATTCTCATATTTGATTTATAAAATACTAAAACGTATATCCAAATTACAAAAATTCTAAAATAAAAGATTAACAATGCATGGACTCAATAATCTGTATCAGCATTTGGTGTGTGTTTTTGTCTAGACCCCATCCAATTAACAATCAAGATGACCTCCAAAGAATGCCGACGGTCATATAACCCGATATAAATATAAATATAAATAGATAGCGACCACTTGCAGTTGGATTTTTTTAGGTCTGTTTGATTTCATATTGTAGGTTAAAAAGTATGTTTATCATCGTTTTTACCTGTATAAGAATGCTTTTTTGTGGATCGAAGAAGTCAAATAAATGGTTCATCCTTGTTTCACTTTCAATGTTGACATTCTTTTCCTTTTAAAAGCTGAATACATGCGTAACTCATCCCCAGCTAAAGGGTTAAATTGAAGGTTACATGAATATGGATTCAATGAGGTCGATTCATTCATTTGCAAGTGAATAATTCATCAGCCATGTTTCTAACCTTATTTTGACAAAATTGAACCAAAATTGGCCGCTAAAAGCGAGGTATTATTTTACTATTTCAGTTTTATTAATGATTGATCCAAAAAAATCATATAATTTTTTGTTATATCTTGTAGCTAATGCCCCTTTAATACTAAGAAATGTTGTTCTGATCTTTAGGGTTTTGTTAAAGGAGCCATCTACTGTAATCCTGGATGTAACAAAAAATCAGCCTTTGTAATACCCAATAAGATTTATTTTTTCAATCATCCATATACAGAATGCATTCTATAAAAGAGACTGACCTTTTAAAATTTTTTGTTATTCTTTAAACATATTATTATCTTATTCTATCCATTCTTTTGTTGTTATTGTGAGATGTAGGCTTTATAAAATAAGATGACTCTCAGTATGAAATACAGATAAATCTCTACATACATTATACCAAAGAAAAAAGACACCTATAAATTTTATAATTCAAAACAGGTAAATAACAATTATTTTTTGGTTTAATTTATGTGGAAAAATTTTCATTTCTGGAATAAATTTTAGTATAAGTCAACCCAAATCCTAGCACTCTTACACTTTTTGATTTTTGGTCAGAACATTTGAATTAAACTGAAATAAGTAGGATATAAATTGAAATGAAGTAAAATATCTGGTATCTATATTTGAAGACAAAAAGATCACTTCATAAGTTTGAGATATGTTAAAAGTAGATAAGTTGATTTCATTTCCTTTTGTATACTCGGTAAATAAGTAAATTGTTCTTTTAATCAGTTACCTCTTATCTCTTTGTTTTACTATAAACAATAAAGTGCTGTTCCTTTATTTTTGGGAAGTATGTAAATAGAGAATATCATATGGCTTTTTCAATATCACATCAGTATCAACCTGAGACACCAATATAATCCCAAGAGCTCTGCTCGAGGGCTTATATTGGTTGAGGTTTGATACCTAGTGTGATATTGAAAAAGCCATATCATATACACTCCATTATATACCTCTAAAAGAAGTTTTTTATGTGACATGACGTAATACAGATTTGCGGTTTGATAAAGCCTTTGCAACCGTGACTGATATTGATGACGTGACGTCATACAAATTAGGGGTGTGATAAAGCCTTTGCAAACGTGACTGATATCGATCTTTGATCGTACTACACATACAATTTATCTGTATTTACTACTAAGTATATAATAAAGATTTTTATCATTAATCAATAAATTTACTACAATAAAAATTAAATTAAGAACCTTTGTGAGCACACTCACATACCCCACGCCCCCACATTGTCACTGGACAAACAAAATCTCACCAGATTCCTAAGTTCAAAGACTCATAACTCTACAAAAGTCCTGATAAAAATTTTCTTGTGGAAATGCACATTTACATATTATGTCCTCATTAACTACAAAGTTTCATGAAATTCTGTTGTGTGGTTTCAGAGGAGTTGCGATGACAAACTGTTGCAGTAGTATATTGAGGCCACTAAGTTCAAAGGGGCATAACTCCTAGAAAACAAATTGAATCATAATTTCCTGTTGATATGCACATCTACATAGTATGTCCATATTATCTACAAAGTTTCATGAAATTCTGTTGTGTGGTTTCAGAGGAGTTGCGATGACAAGAACAGGACTGACGGACAGACAGACGGATGGGTCAAAAACATTATACCCTCCGCAACTTTGTTGCGTGGGGTATAATAACTCCAGAATGTGAGGGAATATAAATATATTATATATCAAATGTAGGAAAGATAGGTATTTTAAATGTACGAAAGATAGAAAACATACATATACAACGGGGTATACTAAAAAAGATTTTGAATGATGGTTTGTTTGGCTATTTTTTAGGATCCCTTTGGTCATATATAGCTCTTCATGTGTTTTGGTCTTATACATCCTTGACTTTCAAAAGTTTGGGTTTGAGGGTTTCTGATGAAGCTGAATCCCAAAAAACCCTTTGAGGAACAAAAGTATTTAAAGTGTTGTTTTTTTTTTCATTTACCAGTTTTGTTCATAATTATTTGAATGTTTGTAGGTTTGAAATTAGAAAAGACATTTGCTGAGTATGTGTCTATGAGAAAGCTACTAGACAACAGAGTTTAAACCAATTTATAATTACCATACAGTCTTTGCAAGTCATTTTTTTAATGTAACTTGTGTATGTTATTTCTCCTTCCTTGTCCCAGGAGAGAATGTTCCGTCCAAAAGATGTATGTAGGAAGTCTAACAGAAAAAAAACCCACTAAATTTCCATACAAAATGATGAATATTCGGTTGTGATGACTTTTATTTTTGTTTTAACCTTGATTGATATGATTGGTCAAAGCAAACTGATGAAATATAAGGATCCAACCAATAGCTGGAAGTCTTAAGATTTTATTGTCTTTTTTATACATAATGTTGCTATGGCAGGTATTTTTGAGAACATTTACATTAATTTGGACTTATTTTTGGATTAACTAGTTTTTCATAGGTTGAAACATTTTTTTACATTGGTACCAAATTCAAACTTTACTTTTAGTATTAAGTTCCTTCATAAATTAATCTATGCATGTAAATTCATTTATTCTTATCTCTGATATTTGATTATTTTGAATTTCATAATTTTATGTTATGAAAAGATTATAGAATTCAATATTTTTCTGAATAAAATAAACCCAGTTTGAACAATTTTTCACTTTAACTTACTCCCATCAAGGTAACTGAGCAATTCCCTTTCTCTGTGTTGTAGACAAATGTACAGTTGTTCATATTTTACCCAAAATGAAATTGCTACATATTTTGTTTTTGAAGTCAGGATTTCTTACAATTTTAAGATACAAGATATGTCAAATATTTGGGTGCATTGTAAAGACTGGGTCCTCTTTTACAATAACTAAGTGTAATATAAGTTAAAAACTCAAAGCTTTGTATTTTTGAAAAGCCAAGCTTATTTTTCCTACAGTAACAGTATAACTTTGTAAACACAGGAGATTATTCATTAATTTTTTTTTTTACACAAGAATGGTTTTACTTGGCCTTCCCTTTTTTTTTGCTTCTTTACATTTTAGCTTTGCTTTTGGTATTATTATTTTTAGAATTTGTAATGCCTATAAAATGTGCAACATGTCCTAACCTAGTATTTAAAGTGGGAAACTCACATGATCAATCACAAAGGTTAATCTTCTCAGTATTTTCATCATTTTAAGTTTATGTTTACATTTTTTTTCGTTTT